GTAGCCACCAACCAATATCCTGGAGCTGGGGCAGAAACAGGAGGGGTGTAAATAACAGAAATCAGGGGGACAAAATACAGGGGGAAAATAGTTGATGATACATGAGAAAATAAGATCTCTGCATAGCTTTAAAGAAATCTAAATTAATCTGAGGTGTTATGTGAGAGTGGGAGGGGACACAGCTCTGTGGATCCAGGACCAGCAGAGGGTGAGAGCAGCAACAATGGGCAGAGAGTTTATGGTAAACCAATAAAATGTACTTATGTCTGAATGTGAAATGAGACTCTGAAAAATAAGGTCTCAAGGCACCTGCTAAAGAGCTTACTGGAATCTTAATAAATGACTCATGCTGTCATAATCTGATCCTGACATCAACTCCCAGGGCTGGAGTTCTTCAGCTCTGGAGAGGGGGAAGGGGGAGGCTGCAAAGCCTTGGGGAAGGCTGGGGTGGAAATAGGCAGGTAAAAAACCATTTACACAAGAGATATTGATGGTTTTTCTATTATCAGCTCATTTGCCAACCCAGAACCAATAAGGCTTGAGCAGAATTCTGCAGCACCAGGAGAAAATGGGAATTGCTCTTCACCTTTAAAATCTTTGCCTGATGCTGTAGATGGTTTTGCAGAGGATGTGTGGTTTCCTTCTAGATCCAAAGGAGGGTTTTAGTGGGAAGAGAAAGCTGATGAGAGAGTTACCAGCACAAAATAGGGGTGAATGAGATGAATTCCTCATTCCTGCTCTTGGCTCTGCCACAAACTTTGCTTTGGGAAAATCCTTTAACTCCATTTGTTTGAGGGCAGTAAAAACCCTCTCCATAGCGATTACAAATGACATGTTTGTTAATAATTTTAATCTTCTATGAATCCAAAACAGGAGTATTAATTACTAGTTTATTCTCTGGCAGTACACTGCCAACCTCAGCTTGACACAGGGACTTCTATTTCTAGAACTTGAATGACACCACTGTTCAAAGTGCCCCATAAATTGGAAAATTCAGCAATGCTGAGCAAATTGAGGGGAAAGAGATGGCAAAGGATCAGCTTTGGAGTCACAAATGTGCTTCATGGGTCATTCTTGTATTCCCTCTTGTTGATTTGGCCGCTGCTGAGGGGAAGTTGAGATTTTATCCAGGTGCTCAGTGAAGCCCTGTGGATATCGCAGAGCTCTGCACCCAAAAGCCAGATTCTGCTACAAAATAAATGCTGATTCTCCTGCTGCAGCCCAGAGGCAGGGCCAGTAAGGAGCTACTTACTGTGTTYTGTGTTTAGCAGAAAATCACAGCCTGTGGCTGCAGTTCTGGGTGAATTTTAAAATAACTGGCAACTTATTAGTCATGGGTTTCAAACTCAGCTCCTGCTCGTGGTTTTTCAAATGAATAACTGAAACTTTTCCTTCCTGWTTGGTTTTTTTACTTCTTTACCCCTTTTTGCACATGTTGGATACTTGAGTTTTTCAGGCATTTTGCTCTCTTGGAAGATTAATGAYGGGGATATAAAACTGATGGGGAAGGGAAGGGATTGGATCTCTGATGGAGTAAATCTGAACTTTTCSAACCTTGGCAAAAATATTTCATTGCTTAGATCACTTTGCTTAATTTGCACGCCTGATTTTTGCACCTCTGATTTCAGTTTTGCTCTAAAGGAGAATGGGTGCAAGGAAGAGTTTCCRTATCCATCTAAAAATAGCTGCAAAATGCTCAAAGAGGAACAAATAAAATAACCAAAATCTTTCAGAACGGGGGGGTGGGGTTTTTGTCTTTCGCAATCCAGGATCTTACAAATTGAAAATGGTTAAAAAAAGCAACCACCGAACAAGCCCAACAGAAAAACCCCAACAACAACAAACCCCAAACAGCCAGAAAAAAGCCCCAATCAGACCTGGAAATCAAATTCAGGTTGCRCAATGTTCTCTTGTTTAATCCTCACTCCTTTTCAGAGTGTTGTTTAAAAATAAAACTTCAATGTTTCTGTCACTCTTCTTCCCTCCTTTCTCTGGTTTTGCTATTAAAGCCTCACCATTGCCCTCTGCTCTTTGAGCAGCACTTGGACTGTTGGAGAGGCAGCTTCATGGGGTGAATTTTCCTTGGAAATGCCTTGTAAGGATGGATCCATCCTGAAGGGKTTTTTTTGTTCTCAAGGATGCAGTGTAGAAATGCTTGGGTGACAGTGTCCCACCAACATAAATGATGCTGATTTTTTTGAGAGAACCATTGAGTACTAAATTTTGGGCCAAAGAATTTTGGTAATTTAAAAATAATCCTGTTAAATAGTGTGGAATAATAAATATATCTATGCAGTTGTACAGGGAGAGCTGCTCTGCACAGGCTGGTTCAAGGMAAGGTAAAAGGGACGAACAATTCAGAATCCCCAGGGAAATTTGAATGTTAGGTAGGTTCTGCTAATTTTAATGAGGCCTGAAGGTGCTGAGCTCTTGGATGGTTTGGAATCAAGCCTTTGGGGTCAGCCTGTGCTTCGGAACAGGACCAGATAAGGGAAGAAATTGTGTGTTCCCTTAAGTTTATTATGGGATGGCTCTGCACAGGGATGTGGGACACAGGTTGGGGTCACCCCGGGGCTGCCTTGAGCAGAGCACAGCTCCTCTCATCTCCTGTCCCACCTCAGCCACACCAGGTGTTTGTTCTTCTGGACAAAATGCTCCTGGAAGTGTGAGGCAGGACAGCAGGAAGAACTGGGGCTGCCCAGTTTGTTCCTCAGCCACACGTTCCCAAGAACGTGCAGATGATGCTGTTTTGTCCCAAGTCCCTTAATGGGGAGCCTGAGGAGAGATTTCACAACCAGAAAAATTTAACGAACCCTCAGGGCTTTGGGGAAATAGAATTCCTTTTACCTTATCTCCTGATAGAGGGGAGAGGGGAGAGGGGGAGGTGGTTGGATTTGAACATAAACCAGATGGCTCAGTCGTTTAAAAAAGTCTCTTTAGATAAGATTGCAGAGAATTCCATCTCTTTCTGTGCTGTGGGCAGATCCATGGCAGAGCCCTGGGATGATGGGGAGAAGAGCCCTTTCCCCTCCAGCTGACTGGGAAGTTTGGTGTTGGGCAGTGTAGGGAGAGCCCCATCCTTGGAAACAATCCCAAAGTCAAACACATATTGTGTTAATCCTCCACCTCAGCTGCTCAACCCAAATCCACACTGTCCATGTGCTGATGGAGACTGAGAGCAGGAATAACACCTCCCACAGCTCTGTCTCCTGTGGGGTGCTTGGAATAATCTCTCTCAGTCTTCTCTTTCTCTTTTTTCTTCACCTGGATGCAAGATATGCTGCCAAGCAGGCAAAGGGAAGGGGAATGGAGAAGCACTCCTGGTTTATTCCTTGTTCCAGCCTCCTCTCTTTTTGCAAAATTTAGTGACTATTTTCATGCTTTTCACATATATTTATAAAATTTTTTTCCAGCCTGATTGGTTTTGCGGTTACATAAATCCAGTCTTTGCTCCACTGAAATCATCACCAAAATTCCCATCTTCCCCAGAAGCTCAGGTCTAGCCTCTGGCACTCTCCTTGGGAATATTCCACTAATTTTGACTGGAATTAGTTGTGTTTTGCCTTCGCTGTTGTTGTAGCAGTGTTTGCAGAGGTGTGTGTGGTACCCAGCTTTGCCAGAGGAGCTTTTGGGAAAACTCTCTTAGTGCAGCCAAGAGGAGCAGAACCTCTTTGGAATAATTGTTTGTGTGTTTTGCTTTGGGTTTGTTTTGTTTTTCTAACTCCGCTGCCAACACAAAGAACCAGGGGAAATAATTCCGAGTAAAATTTCAATTTTCTTTGTTTTTTCCTCTCTTTGACAAATTAAAAAAGTGAGGTATTTCATTTCACCAAAGCCCTGAAGTGTTTCATTTGGGTCATTAGGAAAAGCAAGGGAAATGAAGGGTTAGACTTCAAAGGAGGTGCCTGGGGGCAGTTCCCATTCATCCAGGACAGAGGAGACCCTGCTCCAGATTTTTCCTCTGCTGGAGAGGAGTTGAGCACTCATGTTCTGCTTCCCAGGAAGGTTTGCTGGGAAGAGGCTATTCTGGGGTGAGGATGGGATTAGGTGAAAAATGAGCTGGAGGAGACACAGGGTAGATGTAAAAATAAAAGTAAGCGATGCTGTAAAAACTCTTACTTGCTTTCAAGCTGCAACTTGGAAAATGAAACTGGAAGCCTGGGTTGTTTGTAATGAACTTTATATAGATCTAGTAGATAAATTTACAGAAAAGCTATCTATATTGATTTTGTCCCAATGAAAATTCATGGATCTGTGTTTTAAGAGTCAAAGTTTAYTAACACATATTTTAAGTTGTAACAGCTTGACAAGCACAGCAGAGATTGCTGAGAGCTGTGCAAACACCCTGCTTGTTAGGACCCATGTCAGTGTTTAAGGAGTACCACTAAATTGTCGTGTTCTTGCTGGCTGTAGCTTTTGTCTCTGTCTCCGAATCAACCATAAAATTAGTATAAAATTATAAAAAATTCCAGATATCCAAAAGTAAAAATAAATCCAGAGCAGGGTTTTTGTATGAAACAAATATTGTTTGTTGTGGATTCTTCATCTAGTGCCTGAARGGGCTCCAGCAGAGCTGGAGAGGGACTGGGGACAAGGGATGGAGGGACAGGACACAGGRAATGGTTTCCCACTGCCAGAGGGCAGGGAGAGATGGGATATTGGGAAGGAATTGTTTCCTCTGAGGGTGGGGAGGCCCTGGCACAGGGTGCCCAGAACAGCTGGGGCTGCCCCTGGATCCCTGGCAGTGTCCAAGGCCAGGCTGGATGGGGCTTGGAACACCTGGGATAGGGGACATTGTCCTTGCCCTGGCAGGGGTGGAATCGGATGGGCATTAATGTCCCTTCCAACCCAAACAAGTCTGGGATTCCATGATTTTACAGCTTTTGGAAGTAAATCCTTGYGCTGAAGACGGGCACCAGCAGCCTCCTGTCAGTGCCTGTGTTGGAACAGAACCACCCCTGTTAACACAGGCTAACCCCCCTCCTCTCTGCTCCCTGCAGATCCCTGGATGGGCGGCTCCAGGTGTCCCACAGGAAGGGCCTTCCCCATGTCATCTACTGCCGCCTGTGGCGCTGGCCCGACCTGCACAGCCACCACGAGCTGCGCGCCATGGAGATGTGCGAGTTCGCCTTCAACATGAAGAAGGAYGAAGTGTGTGTGAACCCCTACCACTACCAGCGAGTGGAGACCCCAGGTACTGCCCCAGCCCTGCCAGGAAGGGGCATCCCAAGGCCATTTCCAGGCACTGGGTTTGGAAGGCACAGCGGGTCTGTTATGGAGGATAATCCCTTACTGTATGGAGTAGAATAATTTGTGAACCTACACTCAGGGGGAAAATATYGTTGGGAATCAGTGAAATCCAAGTGAGCAGGTTCCAGGTTACCAGAGTGGCACTGTGTGCACGTAAGCAACTCATGCACAGCAGGAACTGTGGCATTGTTCTCTGCATCCTTCACTGCTGGTGCTAAGTTAAGGATAAACTCACTATAAAGTTGAGCTGGGTGTAAGAGCAGCTCCCAGCTTCCTGTCAGGAGTCTCCTCCTAACAGGAGGAGTCTTYTCCTGCCTCTGGAAGAGACTTTGATCTGGAGCTGCAGCAGCTTCTGCTGCGTGTCAGCGCAGATCTGCAGAGCCAGGCRGGATGTTTATGCTAATCCCACCTGGCTGCTCCATCCTATGGGAATCTCATTCTTTGGGAATCCTGGGGTGCACCTTCTTTAAAGGGCTTTCCAAGCAGAGCTGTTTCTCTGCCTGGGAAGGGGCAGACAGACCAGGTGTGCTCTGATAAGCTGTATCCCATTCCCAGCTGAGACCTGCTGGGAGCAAACAGCATCTTCACCCGCTGCTGTTATTTTAGAAGGAAACCAAATCCTCTCCCACAGGGAGCCCCTTTGTGCTCCATGGATTTAAGGCTGTTACTCCAAAGTGATTTATCCTCCTTTCCTGGCGTTTTAGTCACTTTATTTCAAAGCTGTTCCCTGTTTTCCCTTCCCAGTGCTACCTCCGGTGCTGGTGCCTCGGCACACGGAGATTCCRGCCGAATTCCCGCCCCTGGACGACTACAGCCACTCCATCCCAGAGAACACTAACTTCCCAGCAGGTATCGAGCCCCAGAGCAACTACATTCCAGGTACCTTGTGTCTTCCATACAGGGAGCAGAGGGAAGGGTCAGAGCACGCAGGGAATCCTGGCTGGGTATCCCACACTGGGAATCCTTCTTTCCATTGTTCCCCTGGACTATGGAGTGGGAACCTGTGCAGAAATAGCTGGAAGTTGTAAATGTGGGCACTCACCAGTGCTGTTCATAGCTTTGTTTTGTTCATTTTAAACTCACCCCTTCGTTCAGTGGTACATCTTCAGTTTATTGGGAAATCTAAACTGAATCTTCCTTTAGCAGGTTTACATTTGAAATTCAGCCATTTTGAGTAAAACTCTCCAAATTTCTGATGGAATTGAGCTCTTCTATTTATGTATCTCTTTTACAAGCAATTTACACCTTATTTGCATGGACAAGTTATGCAGCTGCACTCCAGGAGAGGAGAAATATGTGGACGGAAAACTGCCTCCATGACTTAGAGTTTCATGGGACTGAAAATCCGGATTTTTTTGTTTTCCCCCTCCTCTGTTACAAATAYGGATATCGCTCTGGCTGTGCTGGCTCCTCCCTCCAGCAGCTTGAGAAAGAAAAGTAATAAAAAAGAATTTGGGCTCCTTGTGAATGACAAAGTGATTGTTTTTGGTGCCTAAAATCCAGATTTTTCAGTTGCACTGACAGTGTGATGATTTTATGCCTGCAGAGACCCCTCCTCCAGGCTATTTGAGTGAGGATGGAGAAACCAGTGACCACCAGATGAACCCCAGCATGGATGCAGGTGAGTCACCTTTGGGGTTTTCATTTAGTGGCCTTATCTCAAAGAAAGTTGAATGTCCAGATTTCTTCTTGTTGCCACAAAAAGAAGTTACCCAGTTTGCAATGAGGTTACATAATTTATGTTCACATAATCCATATATTACGTTGGAATAGCCCATATAAATGTTCAGATGTCATGGACTTCTSTCATTATAGGAAAAATGAAATAAATAAAGAAACCAGCTCAGATCAGCRTGAAAGGAAAATTGAAAATGGGCTGCACCACCTGTCAGCATCTGTGGGACCTCCAAGTGCAGATATTTTAAATATATGCCAAGAATTTGTGGACCAAATTGACATGATTGAGAATAAAATTCTGATAGTTTTTTGGTCAGACCTGTGTAACCTGATCCAATACTTCATTGTCCCAAACCCAGCAGGATTGTGGGTATAAAGTGTTATGTTTTAAATTCTATTTTGTCTGGCAATATACGCTCAAGCTCTTTAATGCCCAGCTAACAGGGTTTGTTATGATAATACCTAAAAGTAAAACAGTCAAGTGCTTGCTCAGTTGGGAAAAATTAATGGGTTAAACTTAAGTGAATTCCCTGTGAAGGGGCAGCAAGTTGATATTTGAAAGCTCATATGAAGAGTAATAAGCATCAGAGTAGCTGCAGTGTCAAAAAAGACTTCAGTGAGCAGTGGGTTGTCCCTCCAACAAGCCTGGGCAGCACTGCAGATCCTGTGAGTGTTTTTCCTGGTGCAGATTCCATAGCAATAATTATCCCATCTTGATTTTCAGGTTCTCCAAACTTATCACCAAACCCCATGTCTCCTGCACACAACAATCTGGGTAAGCACATGATCCTGGGAGCTGGGTGTAATTACAGTCAAGARGGTGACATTTGAATGATGGTGTTGAGGTTGTGCACTTTTTACGATATTCCAATGGTTTTTAACTGCTGGAGGGCAGCTTTGGATTGGATGTGAGGAGGGAATTGTTMCCTGGAAGGGKGGGGAGGCCCTGGYACAGGATGYCCAGAGGAGCTGTGGCTGCCCTGGATCCCTGAAAGTGTYCAAGGCCAGGTTGGAAMAACCTAGGATACTGAGATGTGTCCCTGCCATGACAGGGGATGGACTGGATGGGATTTAAGGTCTCTCCSAATCCAAACCATCCTGGAATTCTGTGATTCTGTGAGACTGAGCATGGTCTTAGCAGAGCAAAGTGGAGAAGGTTGGCTGGGGTGGGGCTGGAGACTCCRGATAAATAGGGAATGTTCAGCAATGCCAGTGAATGGAGAGGTCATGGACAGCATTCCTGGAGAGCTGTTTGAGGGTGGGGAATGCTGTGGGGGGATGCACCAACCACAGATGCACGGGAGGGGGAGGATTGTTATGGCAGGCCCCCAGCTGCTTCTCCTCACCCAAACTCCAGGAACTCCTCAGTGTGGAGTCATCTGCCTCTCCCAGCTCCWTCCTGGCCACAGGGAGCACATTCCAGCCTCAAGGGCTCTGTSAGACCTCACTCCATAGCTGTGACAGCAAACAGGGGAACCCAGAGGAGAAGGGAGAGCAGCTGAACCTCTGAGATACCACAAGAGGTTTTGGGCTCTCTCTGTTATCTTAAAACTTCCACCCTTTATTTTGATTCTGATCTCCATCACTCTGAGCTCATGCCCTGTTTGGAATTGCTCTCCCTATGTGCCWTAAAAATCCCTCCCAGCTCTGCCTGGCTGCAGGATCAGCTCCCCAATTGTTCATTAAGGCAGCAGACAGGGCCCACTTGAGATTTCTCTGGAATAACCATAGCCATAAAGTTTACATATGCTTTTAATCCTGGCACACAGGACTTTGACACTGCTCCAAAATTTGTCAGTCATTGGCTGACTTGTGGATATCTTGGGGCTGTTGAACAGAGGATTTCTTCCCCCCCCCCCCCCCCCCCCTTTTTTTTTTTGGTTAATATTACCACAGTGACACAAAACTTTTATTTCTTTTAACTATTACAGCCCAAGAACAGAATACATTACTGAATAATGTTTATTTTCTTTATTGCGATCCATGGTGCTGCCTGGGAGGTCATGAAATTTTTCTCGCATTTCTTCCTTTTTTCAACCTAAAAATGAAAAGCCAGTTCCATGTAACAAACTCATCCTGGCAAGTGGCATCTTCCTTACATAAGGCAGAAAGGAATTTCTAGGAGACAGACCCCCCATGTCCTYCCTGGCAGGGACACTGGTTATTCACACATCAGATGTCTCAGGTGCTGTCTGGGGACAAAAAAAAGGAGCAGGTGAAGCTGGTAAAACACAAGGAATCTCTTTGTAGTCTGAGGAGCAGACAGCAGAGCAGCAGTTTAATTTACCAGCATTAAAAGACACCCTCAAGTTCTTGCTAAACATATTTATTGCTCTCAGGCAGGAGCTTCCACAAATGAAGAGCTTCTTGTTGCTTTTAATTTTACTGTAAATTCTTGCCTTTGAGGAAGCTACAAAATAATATATGAAAGGGCAGCTGAGCCCCACTCAAAAGTGTCCAAGGGCAAAATTGTCATCACATGACTGTTGTAAATGGCTTATCTGCAGCAGGAGCTGCTCCCAGGGAAGTCAGACCTTCAGCCTGATAGTCCCAGCCCAGGGAAGGGCTCTCTGGGCTCTCCACTCAGGAGCTGGTGGTGGCTGGTGACCTGCAGTACGCCTGTCATCCCATGGGTAAGCAGAACTCTGCTATCCAGGGCTGGACTTTGCTGTGTAGGAATCTGAGGAGGCTTTCTCTGTGTGTTTGTTGAGGAAATTGAAAGGAAATTCAAACCCCACTGCAAGTGTGTGCAAGGAGGGAGTTTCTCAGTGAGCTCTTAAGAAGAGGAGTGCCTTTTCCATCTTTGCCATGAAGAAAATAATGTCCCAGGATTGTTTGTTTATTTGAGCTGAACTACCTGAAGCTTTTAAGACAGTTTACTTTGTGTAAACTGAACTTTGGTCTTAAATCCTGTGGCCATATTCCAGGGAATTATAGAGGCAATAAAGCAGCACGAGGCAAACTGAGTGTGACAGCAGGGGCAGGGTTACCTCGAAGAGCAGGGCAGGTTTTTCATGTCAGGCTGAAACGTGGGATGGAAGGAGCTCAGGGAATTTCATCTTTCCATTGCCAGGCACAGAAGTGTTGCAAGGTAACATATTGGAATCTTTTCTTTTTGTATTCTCCTTTCAGTTTGTGTGTTGGAATTGGAAGTGTTTGAGTTTCGGTTCCAAATTACAGCTGTCAAGTTTTCAGTTGTCAAACATAAGCTTGAAGTGAAAGTCACAGATATCCAAGGATCGCTTCCCTATTGCTGAAACACGAACTGAGGAAAAACACAAAATGCAAGGAGAGTTGCCAGCATTCTGTGGACTTTGGGAATGAAGTCAGGGAGTTGGGGCTGGCTGAGGACCAGCCCTGTGGTCACACACACATTGTTATTCCGAGGGGCTGTCCCTTGGAGCACAGGAAATMCATTGTCAGGGATTGCTCCACAGAAGGACTTGACGCAGGAGCTGTCAGAGAAATGAGCACACAGCCCACGGTCACATCCATGTCCCCCTGGCCCCTGTCCCAGGGGAAAGCCAGCCCTTCCCTGGGTGCAGTGGGGAGGGAGCACCCATTCCTCTGCATCTCYACCTTTCCGAGGAGGGAGTTGGGATCGGAACAGTTGGAAACATCTCTCAGTGAGTTCTGAGCCAATCTGTGATCAGATGCATTCCCTGAAATCAGACTTCCCTTGTGCTCAGAGAGAGGGAGCCGAGCAGACAGCAGATTTTTCCCAGGACTTTCATGTGGCAGGGACGATGCAGGRCTGGGACTCTCCCAGAGCCTGGGGGACCCTTCTGACAGCAAAGCTGTTTCTGAGTCAAGGCTGAAATTGTGCAGAGATGATTCAGGCAGGATTTGCCTGGGTTTCATGTATCCTGTTTTATTGATTGTGTACCCCCTCAGGGTCCTTTGACTTTAGCAGAGCTGCGTGCTCTTCCTTTTCCCCAAACAGTAAAGCCATAAATTGAAAACGAATATTTAGGACAGCTCTAACACAAGAGGGAACTTGCCCATCCCACAGCAACTTAAGCTGAAGTTTAAAACTACAAATCACAGGAGAAAGCAGCATCATTAAAACTGCAGTCACAGTTTTTAGAGACAAGCTTTTCTTCAAACCGGGAGTTGTTGGTTTATGTCTTTCCTCAAGCTGCAAATAAGCCAGAAATAAAATTTCTGTACATCCTTCAGTGGAGAATCCACAGTTTCCTTCAGCCCCAACCAGGTGGAGTGGTTTCTGAAGGAAAGGACTGCAAAACCATGCAGAGGTTTCAGTGTTTTTGTAATAGCATCAACATGAGGATGTTACTTGAGGATCAACACAGGTAGATACTTCTGGAGCTGAGCAGCCTTTTGATTAGAAAAGCACTTGCTGTGGAGTWAGAGCCCGGTCATGTGGAACTGATCTGTTTTCTTTAGTGGGTGGACCAACCTTGGGAGGCTCCAGGCAGAGCTGATGTTTGCCGGGCCTCTCTCCAAACTGCCCTGGGGCCCACAGGAGCCCAGAGCAGTGGTGAGGTGGCCACGGCTGCTGGGGCTGAAATGAGGCTGCTGCTGGAGAAATTTGCCTGGGGTGGCAATTTCCAGTGGGGAAACCAAATGTGCCATGCAGGAGAAAAAGGCAGGGACAATGAACTTGTGTCACTTCTGGATGTGATGCACCATTAACATCTGTGCACAGCAAGAGAGGGGCTTGCTCTGAGCTACAGAATTAAAATGTGAACAAGTGGCAGGTAAAAGCAGCTGGGAATGGGTGCAAGGTCCATATTTCATAAACGTTGAAGCCTGCTAAGGATTACAGAGTTCCTCAGATGCACTTCTATTCAATTCCTTCTTTGCTGTCAGCAAAGCTTGTAACAAAGCAGAAAACAAAGTAATTTTTCTGATTATTTGCTGCTTAGGGAGCTCTTCCAATGCAGTAATGAGAGGAAACCAATGTGTCCTTTGGCTGCTCCAACCTGTGCCTGAAGGTTATAGAGTAGCAGGTATAGGTGAGAAGAGGTTCCCAAAACTCTGCAGAGACCCTGGGCAGTGTGAGAGGAGGCTGGGCTGGTAAAAACCTGTCTTGGATTTTTCTGGAGCTGATCTCTTAAGCCCCAGATTCTCCTAAGCCGTGCAGGAGCAGCAGATGGGAAAGCCTGTGGAAAAAGCYGGGTTTGCTGTTTGATGTTAACTCTTTGGCCAGATGGGAGCTCTTCTGTTCTGCCTTTAAGCACCATTTGAATRGGGATGAAGTGATAAATTGGGGGGAGGGAATTCTTCTCCTGCACTGCATGTGGGGAATAGCACTTAGGAGCTGGCTGGGTCTGCTCTCCACATCCCCTGCTCAGGCTTGGCTCCCAGCAGGGCTGGGCACCTTTGTGCTGCGAATTTCCAGGAAATTCGACTGGAACCTTACTCTGCTGGAATCTCCTGGGCTCCAGTGGGAGCAGTGAAATTGTTTGGGGCTCTTTGAGTGCCCATCCTGATGCGGGGGAGGTGTGGCCTTCCTGGGGCTGCCTCAGCTCCTCTGCTTCTCAGCTTCAGCCCCTTGGCTTCGGTCCATGAGTCAAACCAGGACCCCAGGGCCTTCACCTGCTGGGAAAATGGATTTTCCTGTGATGGTTTAAGTGCACTTGGAGAAAGTTTTTAAATCGCTTTGATGGCAGCATTAAAGGCAGTTTGGGGCATATTTCAGACCAGTTTCACCAGTGCCAGAGAGGTCACAAGCAGGGTCAGTGACAGGGAAAGTTGGATTTACTGGTTGGAAGTGCACAGATTTAGGGTGCGGCATACCTGTGTTATTGACAGCAGGTTTGTGCTTTACTCTTTCTGAGATTTTCTGCTCTGTCCTTTTCTGTGTCTCTTTAAGGTACTGGCTGCCTGAAAGTGATCCCACATTCCATAGTAAAGCTGAGTTTATTTWTTTACTTTCCCCCAAGTGTGAGGCTGCTCAGTGACACCCCACTTGCTAAGTGAGTAATACCTTCAACTATTTGTGATTGCTCCAGGSRTGATGTCACCTCCTTGCTGTGGCCCATTCAAATGAAACCTTRGTTGAAGTGAGCCTGAGGAATGAAGCRGAACAATATCCCAAACCAGCTGGGKTTTTTTCCATTCCCCTTTCCYTTGCTGACGTGGCTCTTTTTGGGTGCAGATCTGCAGCCGGTGACCTACTGCGAGCCGGCCTTCTGGTGCTCCATCTCCTACTAYGAGCTCAACCAGAGGGTGGGGGAGACTTTCCACGCCTCGCAGCCCTCCATGACCGTGGATGGCTTCACCGACCCCTCCAACTCGGAGCGCTTCTGCCTGGGGCTGCTGTCCAACGTCAACCGCAACGCGGCCGTGGAGCTCACCCGGCGGCACATCGGTAACTCCTGCTGCCTCCTGCCTTTCCAGGGCTCCACTAAAACCACCTCCTCAGCAGCAGGTTTAGAGCACTGGAGTAGGAATATCTTTGGATTGCAGCAGGCTGAGCTCCCATCAAACAGCACTGATTGGGTTTTATCATATAAGTGCAATACAGAAATGCACTGAGGAGCGCTAAAACTGCTGTGTGTAATGGGATTTAAACCATTTCACACATTCTGTGTATCTGGAGGGGTGTCAGGGATAAATGGGTGTGTTCCTTTTCCCTCCTGCACTGTTTCATTTTCTGACTGACCTTTTTTAAATGGAAACTGAGTTCCTTGATTGTTGTCTCAATTCCCACTTTTCCTGCAAGGTCCCATCCAGTTTGTTTTCAGTGAAACTTGTGCTAAGCAGWACATCCCAAATTTCTGCTATGTTACAAAAAGGCAAAATTGCTTATTYTTTTCTGTTTTCTGCTGCCTCTTATCAACCTGATTTTTGTCCTTATTTTGCTCCCCTTTCTACCCTTTCCTGAGCAACAGGAGAATCCTCCTTCTTGCWCAGGAGAAACTTTAGATCTTCACTTGTTTAGAAGATTATTTCTAGCACAAAAAAAAACCTCCAAAAACTCCCCAAAACCCACCAAGATTCAGAAATCAGATTTTAAATACAGCAGACTCCTTCTGCTCTGTGGATGAAAGCAACACATCCAAACAGGAATGTGAGACCACAGCAAATGTTTACTTGAGCAWCAAAATGTTCAACTTTGCTCCTTTATTAGCTGAGATTTTAATGATTTGTGTAAACACCTATAGGCAATGGATGTGTGTCCTTGTCACAAAGTCATCTCTAGCTAAAGGCAAAGATTTGGAAGTGCTGYGGAATTCCATTCTAAGTCATGGAGTAAATCCCCGAACAGTCTTGTCCAGCTGGGATGACTTTCAGAAGAAATGATGRTTTTCATGTGTTAACTGATAGAACATTCATATGGAAAACAGAGTGTGTATGTTTGGAGGGACCTGGCTGGGGTTTGGGGTACAATTCCAGTTGGAATTGGTGCTCCTGACTCCCTCAGCTCCCCTGGCTCACGGAGSAGTTTATTGGAATGTCCAGTGGGACAGAGTTTCCATCACTCAGAGCTGAACTGCTGGTTGAGAGCCGGCTGAGGGATCTGTCCCACCCCTGGTGCAGTTTTCCCGGTGTTTCCCCCCTGAAAGCTGGCCGGGGTTGCTGTCCCACCCCTGGTGCAGTTTTCCGGGTGTTTTTTTCCCCCTGAGGGCCGGCTGAGGGATCTCTCCACTTTCTGGTGCAGTTTCTCCCGTTGTTCCCGCTCTGATACCCTCTGATACTCTCTGAGGGATCTCTCCCCTCCCCTGGGGCAGTTTTCCCAGTGTTTCCCCCTCTGATTCCCCTGAGGGCCGGCTGAGGGATCTCTCCTCACCCCCGGTGCAGTTTTCCCGGTGTTTGCCCCTGAGGGCCAGCTAAGGGATCTCTCCCCTCCCCTGGTGAAGTTTTTCCCGCTGTCCCCGCTCTGATACTCTCTGAGGGATCTCTCCCCTCCCCTGGGGCAGTTTCTCCCGCTGTCCCTGCTCTGATACCCTCTGAGGGATCTCTCCCCTCCCCCGGTGCAGTTCTCCCGCTGTCCCTGCTCTGATACTCTCTGAGGGATCTCTCCCCTCCCCCGGTGCAGTTCTCCCGCTGTCCCCGCTCCCTGACCCGCTGTCCGTGTCCGCAGGCCGCGGGGTGAGGCTGTACTACATCGGCGGGGAGGTGTTCGCCGAGTGCCTCAGCGACAGCGCCATCTTCGTGCAGTCCCCGAACTGCAACCAGCGCTACGGCTGGCACCCGGCCACGGTCTGCAAGATCCCCCCAGGTAAGGGACAGCTCCGCCGAGCCTTTCGGTGTCTCCGGCCTTCGGGACTTCCTGTGAAACCATGGAATGGTTTAGCTTGGGAGGGCTGTAGCGCTCATCCCGTTCCMTGATGCACCGTCCRCTCTCGCTKGTTGCTCCAAGCCCYGTCCAGCCCGGCCTACAGCACTTCCAGGCATGGGGAGTCACAGCCTCTCTGGAAAATCTGTTTTTATGTATTTTATAAGCAGCCTGACAATTCCAGCAGGGCATTTTTTATTGCATAAGTGGATGAAGGTGCTGCTGAAGGACGCTGCTGTGGAGGGTCCCATCTTGCACAGTATTCATGCAACAGAACAGAATCTGAACRCAGCTTAGAGCAGAATCTCTTAAGTTATTCCTTCAGTGTTTTATCAGTCCATTGTTGTATTTGTAATTAGCTGATAGTCATGTTGATAATTTTGTTTGGACCTCTAAGTAAAAGGTAAGAAATTTCTCTTAATTTAGATTCCCCCATAATAGATTTAAATTGTTATTTTTTTTCTGTTTTGTAATAAAATCCCTTCCCTCCTCCATGTGAATTAGTTTGTTCTAAAGAAATCACATTTRCAAACACCTCGTTGTTCTGGTTACAGTCTAAAGTTTTTGCTGAAAGATTACAAGATAATTTATTTCATCTCTCKAGGAAGAAAAGGCTCTTTTTGTCAGATAAATGCAAAAAGCTGGTAACAGAGGAGATGCTGTTTGAAATGGAATTTAGTTATTTAGCTAGGCTTACAAAAGCTGACTTTTTTACAGTTAAAAGCATGTATATATTTAAAAACTGAACTTCTTTGTTTAGAAATATTTGAATAAAGCTTRTCTTTTGAGAGGAGATCCATACGCTCTGAGTTCTGGCCCATCGTAATGGGTTTCCTTGCTCAGATGCAGCTGCCAGTGCTGCAAATTCTGACTTAATTCTCCACCACATCACAAGAGTCCACCCTGGCTGCAGTCAGCATCTGCTGACATGAAGAGCCCACATTTCCGCTCGGGATCCAGCCCAGGCTCAGTTTTTGGACGCCAGCTCTCCCCACTTTTGCCACAGCCTTTGGCCGCCTTTTCTTCACATCTTTGCTGGTTTGAGGCTGTTGCTTCGTTCCTTTGTTGACAGGATCTGGTCATTTGCACTCCTTCCCATGGAGAGACCTGTTCCCAAGCCCTCCTGAGGGCTGGGATCCAGCACTGGCATCCTCCTGGAGTTCATTCCTCCCTCCCTGAGCTCAGCCTGGCCCTGACACTTTCACCCTTCAAGCTTCTTCTTGTTCCCTTCCCTTCTGACTCCCCAAGCCTCCAGCCCTGTGGGCTCTTCCCTGATCCCAGAAGTGGGCAGCGCTTCCTGCAGCTGCTGTGGTCACCCTTTGCTCCACACCAGATGACCCTGTGAGTGCAGCCCAGGAGAGGAGGCTCACAAGTGATTTTTAGCAAAACACAGTTCATCCCATTCTAAATGGTGTTTCTCTGCTTTGGCCCATGTGTAATCCCAAACAAGCCTTAGCTGAGTGCCTGGTTTCAGGGTTTAACTTGTTCATAGTTATCTGGGAGAAAGCAAGTGTAGCAATACTGTTTAAAAGAGTGTTGYTTATTTATTTATTTATTTTCATGATGAAGGATGTTATTGTATTTCATCTTTTCCCCCTAAGAACAGCTGGATAAGTTTCTCTCAGTCATTTCACTGTGGCTGARCATCAGGGGAAAAACTTCAATTTTAGAAGGAAAGTGTTTGGCATGTMATAGAGAAAAAGAAGAGAGGATTTTAGCAGGAGCAGCCTTGACCCCAGCCCTGCACCAGCCCTGTCAGCCTCTTTAACCCTCAGAGCTGCTTCTGAAGTTGTTTCGCTTCAGAACTTCCCTGTTCTGCTGGCAGACCCTGTGTAAATCCAGCACCGGGGAGCTCCTGGTTTTAGCCTGTGCATCCCTCCCCTTCAAGCGCTGCAGGGATGTTGCTGAGTGTTCAGTCATAGCCAGGCTTTAAATTACAGTCGGAGGGAAATACTGGCCAGGAGAAGAAGGCGGTTCCACAGGAGGATCCCAGGCCTGGTCTCACTGGTCACAATCACTGGGGAGTGCTCCAGCATTCAGAATTCTCTCCTTTTCCATCTTCCTGTGAAAATGTGGCAGCGTCCATCTCTGTCTCTGGAACTGTATGTGGTGCCAGATGCTATGAGGACCTGGGAGAGCAACCTYGAGTTCCTCTGAAAGAAACTGAATTCTCAATCCCATTAAGCCAATGCCTCGTCCTTGTTGTGTTCTTTCGCAGGCTGTAACCTGAAGATTTTTAACAACCAGGAATTTGCTGCTCTGCTGGCGCAGTCGGTGAACCAGGGCTTCGAGGCCGTGTACCAGCTGACCCGCATGTGCACCATCCGCATGAGCTTCGTCAAGGGATGGGGCGCCGAGTACAGGTGGGGATCCAACCGGGCTCTGCTCCTGCTGCTCCTTAGTTCCCAGCTCGGGGACTCCTGCAGAGATGGTTCATCCCTTTGAAAAGGGGAAATCAGCCCAGGGTCTGCTCAGGAGAGATTGTAGCTCTTGGGAATGTGTTGATCTTTTTGTAGGATATGCCTGGAAGGCCATGTGTGTTTGGTCAGTGTGGTAGGAGCCAAGAGCTTTACCTGGGGAACAGTTGATAAATGCACATGGTTTATGTAGGAARCACTACATTTTTTTCCCGAAAATTAGATGCATATTTGATAGTTTGAGTGTCTTGAAAGTGCACTTTTAGCAAAATAGGATTATAGAATCGTGGAATGTTCTGGGTGGGAAGGGACCCTAAARCCCATGAGTYCCACCCCCTGCCATAGGCAGGGACACCTCCCACTGTCCCAGGCTGCTCCAAGCCCCATCCACCCTGGCCTTGGACACTTCCAGGGGTCCAGGGGCACGCCGCAGCTTCTCTGGGCATCCTGTGCCAGGGCCTCCCCACCCTCACAGGGAAGAATTCCTTCCCAATATCCCATCCATCCCTCTGGCAGTGAGAAGCCATTCCCTGTGTCCTGTCCCTCCATCCCTTGTGGAAGTACAGTGTGAGTTGTGAATGCTTCCCATGGATTGGATTTAATGCTTCTTTTATCAGGGACTAATGGGCTTAAACTAAATGATTGGGTTGAAAATTCCTATTTGAAAAAACTGTGAGAGTTGCTGCAAAATTACAGTTAAATATTACAGTTAGAATTTTAGATAAATGAAAGTTAAAATATTACAGTTAATTATAGTTAAAACTAAATCTCCTGATCCGTTCCCTAGGGCTTGCCAGAGGGCAAGTGAGAGAATGTGGGAGCAGCAGGATCCCTGTTTTTCCCAGTGAATACTGAGGACAAAATGGAGATGCAGGAGGTGTGGTGTGTGGGATGGGTGATGTGCTTACTCTGACCCCACAAGGACAGTGGGGATGCTGTGGGGACAGGGTATTCCATAGGCTGTGCTCTGTCACCCCACTGCTGAGCAAACATCCGAGGGAGAGAAATCAGGGATCGATGGTACAAGCAGGGGARATGAAATTCAATGGAAAATGGATGTTGTTTTCTGAGAGGGAAAGCTGGTGAGGATTTAAYCCAAAAGCGGTGTGGCAATATTTTRCTCTGCACCCTTTYMAWTYKKKGKYYT